CTGTGTCCCAGCTTTTACCGCCTTAAACCCACTTTACCGCCATCATCTGTTTTCCCCCACGTCTGCCTTTTTAAACATCTTTATTCTTTTTAAAATTTTCATCTATTTTGCTATTCCATATATTTTTTTAATTTCGTTTCACGTATGATTTTTTAGTTCACTTTCTTTATGGTTTAGTTATATTTGAATTAATTTTCATATTTGAGAGTTAATTTTTATTTTATTTTTTCATAATTTTCTTCATATTTTAAAGTTTATTTGATTTATTCTCATTTATTTTCGTTTACTTTTTTCATGAAGTTGTTTAAAAAATAAATATATTTTAGTTGGTAATTTTAAGTTATCTGAGTATTTTTATTATTTTTGTTCATTTCAAATATTTTAAATTATAACTTGGGTCTATGAACCAGTCTATTAGAACTGGGGTCTATTAGAACTGGGGTCTATTAGAACTGGGGTCTATTAAAACTGGGGTCTTCTAGAACTGGGGTCTATTAGAACGGGTCTATTAGAACTGGGGTCTATTAGAACTGGGGTCTATTAAAACTGGGGTCTATTAGAACTGGGCCTATTAGAACTGGGGTCTATTAGAACTGGGGTCTATTAGAACTGGGGTCTATTAGAACTGGGGTCTATTAGAACCGGGGTCTATTAGAACTGGGGTCTATTAGAACTGGGGTCTATTAGACTGGGGTCTATTAGAACTGGGGTCTATGAACTGGGGTCTATTAGAACTGGGGTCTATTAGAACTGGGGTCTATAGAATTGGGTCTATTAGAACTGGGGTCTATTAAAACTGGGGTCTATTAGAAATGGGGTCTATTAGAACTGGGGTCTATTAGAACTGGGGGTCTATTAGAACTGGGGTCTATTAGAACTGGGGTCTATTAGAACTGGGGTCTATTAGAACTGGGGTCTATTAGCACTGGGGCATTAGAGAACTATTAGAACTGGGTCATTAGAACTGGGGTCTATTAAAACTGGGTCTATTAGAACTGGGGTCTATAGAACTGGGGACTATTAAAACTGGGGTCTATTAAAACTGGGGTCTATTAGAACTGGGGTCTATTAGAACTGGGTCTATTAGAACTGGGGTCTATTAGAACGGGGTCTATTAGAACTGGGGTCTATTAGAACTGGGGTCTATTAGAACTGGGGTCTATTAGAACTGGGGTCTATAGAATGATAGAACGTCTATTAGAACTGGGGTCTATTAGAACTGGGTCTATTAGAACTGGGTCTATTAAAACTGGGGTCTATTAGAACTGTCTATTAGAACTGGGGTCTATTAGAACTGGGGTCTATTAGAACTGGGTCTATTAGAACTGGGGTCTATTAGAACTGGGGTCTATTAGAACTGGGGTCTATTGAACTGGGGTCTATTAGAACTAGTCTATTAGAACTGGGGTCTATTAGAACTGGGTCTAGAACTGGGTCTATAGAACTGGGGTCTATTAAAACTGGGTCTATTAAACTTTTAGACTGGGGTCTATTAAAACTGGGGTCTATTAGAACTGGGGTCTATTATAACTGGGGTCTATTAGAACTGGGGTCTATTAGAACTGGGTCTATTAGAACTGGGGTCTATTAGAACTGGGGTCTATTAGAACTGGGTCTATTAGAACTGGGTCTATTAGAACTGGGGTCTATTAAAACTGGGGTCTATTAAAACTGGGGTCTATTAAAACTGGGGTCTATTAGAACTGGGGTCTATTAGAACTGGGGTCTATTAGAACTGGGTCTATTAGAACTGGGGTCTATTAGAACTGGGTCATAGAACTGGGGTCTATTAGAACTGGGTCTATTAGAACTGGGGTCTATTAAACTGGGGTCTATTAGAACTGGGGTCTATTAACTGGGTAAAACTGGGGTCTTGAACTGGGGTCTATTAGAACTGGGTCTATAAACTGGGTCTACAACGGGGCTATTAGAACTCAAAACCAAAACTGCAACCAAAACACCAAAACATAAACTGGGCATTAAAGGGTCTATTAGAACTGGTCTATTAGAACTGGGGTCTATTAAACTGGGTCTATTAGAACTGGGAACTATTAGAACTGGGGTCTATTAGAACTGGGGTCTATAAACTATTAAACTGGCAGAAGGGCAAGAACCAACCAACGGGCATTAAACTGGGTCTATTAGAACTGGGACTATTAAAACAACATTAAAACTGGCTATAGAACTGGGAACTATTAAAACTGGGTCATTAGAACTGGGTCTATTAAACTGTGATCTATTAAAATTGGCCTCTACTAGAACTGGCCTCTAACAATTCCAAGTCAACAGAGGCCACACTACTGTCGGCCTCACGAGAAACAAAGTAAGATAGGTGTGTGTGTGTTTGTCAGATATTTTCACACGAATTCCAACATACTTTACACACACACACACACACACACACACACACACACACAACACACACACACACACACACACACTTAACACACCAACACTTACCTACCCCTCCTTCCCTCCCTCCCTCACTTACCTACCCCTCCTTCCCTCCCTCCCTCACTTACCTACCCTCCTCCTTCCCTCCCTCCCTCACTTACCTACCCTCCCTCCCTCCCTCACTTACCTACCTCCTTCCCCCCTTACCTACCCCTCCCTCCCTCCCCTCACTTACCTACCCTCCTCCCTCCCTCACTACCTACCCTCCTCCCTCCCTCCCTCACTTACCTACCCTCCTCTCCCTCCCCTCCTCCCTTACGACCGTTATAATAGAGGCATAAAACCATATAACTTCCCATGATGATTGTTGATGGCCCTGTTGTTGTTATTAATGTCTTCTTCTTCTTCTTCTTCCTTTTCTTTCTCTTCCTCTTTCTTCTTCTTCTTCTTATTATTATTTTCTTATTATTATTGTTATTATTATTATTATTATTATTATTATTATTTTCTCTTATTATTTTTTCTTCTTTCTCTTGGTCCTTCTTCTCCACACTCTCTCCTTACATCAACCTATTCTTCTCTTCCTCCTCCTCCTCCTCTTCTTATTCTTCCTTCTTTTTCTCTACCTCTTTTCCTTCTTCTTCTTCTTCTCCCCAACACCTGTAAAATCTCCCATTAAATCATCACAATCTCCTCTTCCTCCTTCTTCCCTCTCCCTTTCTTCTTCCTCCTCTTCCTCTTTCTTCTTCCTCCTCCTTCTTCCCTCGTACCTGCAAATGGCTTAAGACACCCACGAAATTTGCAAGAACCCATTCAGTACATCACCTCCCCTCCTCCTCCTCCCTCCTCTTCCATCATCATCCTCCCTCCTCCTCCTCTTTCCATCATCACCCCTCCTCCTCCTCTTCTACTCCCACCTCCCTCCTCTTCTTCCTTCATCGCCACCTCCTCTTCCACGTCTACTAATACCACCACCAGCTCCACCACCACTCACCACCAGCTCCACCACCACCAGCTCCTCCACCATCATCACCACCACCACCACCACCACCACCTCCACCTGTAAATGACCAGGTAATCACCACCAGACGAGAATTATAGAGAAGGTAATTTACGAGGCACTCATATCACGGCACTCAGGTAAACGCGTTAACTTGGCACCTCCCCTCCCTTCCCTCCTGAATGTGGCACCCTCCCTTCCCTGATATGGCACCCTCCTTCCCTTTAATGTGACACCCTCCCTCCCCTCCTGGATATGACACCCTCTCCCTCACCTTCAACCCCCAACCTCCCTCCCTCCTGAATGTGGCACCTCTCCCTCACCTTCAACCCTCTCACCTCCCTCCCTCCCTCCTGAATGCACCCCTCTCCCCCCCAGCCGTGTCGTTTGTCCCGGTTTATTGCAAGTGGCGGCTAATATGATACAGTGGTCCTCCTCCATCATATCTTCGCTTCAAACTGTCATTATGAGGAGGGAAGGAGGGAGGGAGGAGGGGAGGGAGGAGGAGGAGGAGGGAGGGAGGGAGGGAGGGAGGGAGGGAGGAGGGAGGGAGGAGGAGGGAGGGAGAGGGGGGAGGGAAGGGGAGGAGGGGCCACCTTCCTTATTTTTTTCTTAGATGATTAAACTCCAAAGTGAATATGGAGAGAGAGAGAGAGAGAGAGAGAGAGAGAGAGAGAGAGAGATTGTTATGTGATGATCCTTGTGGTTGGCAGCCCTGTATTTAGACCAATAACTACACGGTTAAGTTGGTACGCCTTAATACCTGTACTGTGTGTGTGTGTGGTGGGTCTTGTTTTGGGCAGAATCCACGCGTTTGCGGACATGACGCTCGCTGATTGGACCCTGCCAACCGTGAAGTTCACCTACCCCCTCCCCCATTGTGTATCCTCCGATATTTGGTTAGGTTAGGTTTGGTTAGGTGAGATTAAGTAAGGTAAGGTGATTAGGTAAGGTTAGGTTAATGTATGTACGAGTGTATGAGTGTGTGTGTATGTATGAGCGCTTGTGTATGTATACGCATCTGTGTGTATGTATGAATGTATGACCATCTGTGTGTATGGTACGGTACAGGTATGAGCGAGGCGGGGCTATTTCACGGGGCTGTGTACCTGACATAATATAATTAATTACCTACCTATCATTATCGTATGTCGGACTGACCCAACAAGCTGTCACAAACTTCATGTATATAAAAACACCTTCACTTTTTTTTATATTTGATCACCTTTTTTGTGTTTTTTGTATAAATTATTTTTTTTATAATTGATTGCCAGTTAAGTGTTTTTTATGATCATTTACAAGTTTTTTATATATAATAATTAAAAGTTTTGTGTTTTTTATATTTGATTACTAGTTTTGTGGGGTTTTTTTATAATAAATCCCAAGTTTATACAAAAGATATTCAATAAAACACTGTGAAATATACTCTAGTCTTTAAGAAAAATACTTGGGTGTTTTATTTATTTTTTTTACAAATACGTGTGTAAGTTTGTAAATGACTCACCCACGCAGTAAACAAACCAGTAAACAAAGATTACAGTTTATTTACAAGACTCAGCCACGCAGTAAACAAATAAGCAAACACTGAGTCATAATGATTACTTTATCACATCAGTAAGTGTAGTGTAGGTGGGTGATGGCAGAGGGGAGGGAACCGTGGCAGAGGAGGGGGCTGTGGCAGAGTAGGGGCTGCAGAGAGAGCTGTGGCAGAGTTGGGGGCTGTGGCAGAGTAGGGGCTGTGGCAGAGTAAGGAGCTGTGCAGAGTTGGGGGCTGTGGCAAGGGGGCTGTGGCAGAGTAAGGGCTGTGGCAGAGTAAGGAGCTGTGGCAGAGAGGGGCTGTAGAGAGGGGCCTGGCAGATGGGCTGTATAGGAACGTGGCAGAGGAGGCTGTGGCAGAGAGGCCGGCAGAGTAAGGAGCTGTGGCAGAGTAAGGGGCTGTGGCAGAGTAAGGAGCTGTGGCAGGGGCAGAGTAGGGAGCCGTGGCAGAGTAGGGGGCTGTGGCAGAGTAGGGGCTGTGGAGCTGTGGCAGAGGTGGGGCTGGGGCAGAGGCTGTGGCAGAGAGGGAGCTGTGGCAGAGGGGGCTGTGGCAGAGTGGGGCTGCAGAGTTGGGGCTGTGGCAGAGTGGGGGCTGTGGAATGGGGGCAAGGGTGAGAGGCTGTACTGAAGGGGCTGTGATAGGCTGTAGATGTTGGGAGCTGGGAGCTGTGGGCAGGGGCGGCCGGGGGCGGCGAGGGGGGCAGAGGGGCTGAGAGGGGGAAGGGGGCGTCAGAGGCTGCAGAGTGGGGGCTGTGGCAGAGTAGGGGCTGCAGAGTAGGGGCTGTGGCAGAGTAGGGGCTGCAGAGCAAGGGCCAGGCAGAGCAAGGAGCTGTGGCAGAGTAGGGGCTGTGGCAGAGTAGGGGGCGGGCAGAGTAGGGAGCTGTGGCAGAGGGGGCTGTGGCAGAGTAGGGGCGTGGCAGAGTAAGGGGCTGTGGCAGAGAAGGAGCTGTGGCAGAGTAGGGAGCTGTGGCAGAGTAGGGGCTGTAGAGTAGGGAACCGTGGCAGAGGAGGGACAGAGTAGGGGCTGTGGCAGAGTAAGGAGCTGTGGCAGAGAGGGGCTGGCAGAGTAAGGAGTGGCAGAGTAGGGGCTGTGGCAGAGTAAGGAGCTGTGGCAGAGGAGCTGTGGCAGAGTGGGAGCTGTGGCAGAGTAGCTGTGGCAGAGTAGGGAGCTGTGCAAGCGGCAGAGTAGGGGGCTTGGCAGAGTAGGGGCTGTGGCAGAGTAAGGAGCTGTGGCAGAGTAGGGATGTGGCAGAGTAGGGGCTGTGGCAGAGTAGGAACCGTAGAGGAGGGGCTGTGGCAGAGTAAGGAGCTGTGGCAGAGTAGGGGCTGTGGCAGAGTAGGGAACCGTGAGAGGGGGCAGGAGGGGCTGTGGCAGAGTAGGGGCTGTGGCAGAGTAGGGAGCGGGGTGAGTAGGGCTGTGGGCAGAGTAGGGGGCTGTGGCAGAGTAGGGAGCTGTGGCAGAGTAGGGGGCTGTGGCAGAGTAGGGAGCTGTGGCAGAGTAGGAGCCGGGCAGAGTAGTGGCAGAGTAGGGAGCTGTGGCAGAGTAGGAGCCGTGGCAGAGTAGGGGCTGTGGCAGAGTAGGGAGCGGCAGAGTAGGGGCTGTGGCAGAGTAGGGGCTGTGCCGGCAGAGGGGAGGGCAGGGGAGGGCAGAGTAGGGGCGTGGGCAGTAGGGGCTGTGGCAGATGAGCTGAATAAGGGCTGTGGCAGAGTAAGGGCAGAGTAAGGAGCTGTGGCAGAGTAGGAGCCGTGGCAGAGTAGGGAGCGGCAGAGTAGGGAGCGGCGGAGTAGGGAGCCGTGGCGGAGTAGGAGCGTGGCAGAGTAGGGGCTGTGGCAGAGTAACGGCTGTGGCAGAGTAAGGAGCTGTGGCAGAGAGCCGTGAGTAGGAGCGGCAGAGTAGGGAGCCGGCAGAGTAGGAGCGTGGCGGAGTAGGAGCCGTGGCGGAGTAGGGAGCCGTGGCGGAGAGGGGGCAGTGGAGCCGTGCGGATAGGAGCGGCGGAGTAGGAAGCCTGGCGGAGTGGGAAACCCGGGATTGACGCGGTAAATCAAGGGTGTTGGTTCGATAAACGCGCCGCCGAACAATCAGAATACCAGAACACGGGATACATACGCCTTCCTGGCCATCACAGAAGAGAGGAAACCGTCACACACACACACACACACACACACACACACACACACACACACACAGCACACACACACGCACACACACACGCACACACACACACACACACACACACACACACACACACACGCACGCACACACACACACACACACACACACACACACACACACACACACACACACACACACACACACACACACACACACACATACTAGAGCGAGGAACATGTCTTGTTATTATTAATTGTTAACATTAATTCCGACACAAATCACAATGTTGCAACACTACCACCAACACCTGTCCTACATCCCATCATTCCTCCCTCATTTCTGCTCCTCCTCCCTCCCTCCTCCCTCCCCCTCCTTCCCCTCCCCCATCTCTAACTTACCATCATCCTTCCTCTCCCACCTATCCGCATTCCTCCCTCCCTCTTTCTACCCACCCACCCACCCACCATCCCTCCTAACCACCTCAACCACCATTCCTCCCTCCTCTATCTCCTACTTAACCACCATCCCTTTCAACCACCATCTCTCTCCTTCTATAACTCCCCCCTGGTACTGACGGAGGCGGCGACGGCGGCTAGCACAGGAGGAGGAGGTGGGTGTCCAGCTGATGACCTCTGTGTTTACTATAACTCTGTATTAATACGTGGTGGCGTGGTGAGAGGGGCTAGGGGTGGTCTAGATCTGAATATTGGGGTCTAGATGGGAATATTGGGGTCTAGATGGGAATATTGTGGTCTAGATGGGAATATTGTCTAGATGGGAATATTGGGGTCTAGATAGGAATAATGGGGTCTAGATAGAATAATGGGGTCTAGATAGGAATAATGGGGTCCAGATAGGAATAATGGGGTCTAGATGGGAATATTGGGGGTCTAAATGGAAAATTACCCGCATATACCCCATAGTTTGATCCCACACACACACACACACACACACACACACACACACACACAACAACAACAACAACACCACTCTGGTCCAACTGACTTGATGTATCCATTTACTGTCAGGCTCAGAGGAGTCGTCATCATCATCATCATCAACCCCATCTGTCCTGTCCACTCTCTGTGGGAAATGTTCACCTTACCTCTGTCACTTTAACTCATATATTATATTCATCAGTTACTCAAATTATTCCTCCTATCTCTCTTTCACTTCCTACTTTCATTCCTGTTATTCCTATTCTTTATGTCTTTCTTAGCTTTATCATTTCCTTCCCATAAACCCTTTTTTGTGCTTGTTCTTCATCACATTCTTTCTCCCTATCTCTCATCTGTTTATTGTTTACATTACTTCATCATTCTCTTAGCATATTTATCTGTCAGTCTTTCTCTCAATTTCTAGTATTCCATGTTTATCAATTATCCCATCCACATCTTTATCATGTTTATGTCGCCAAGCATTGCATAGCTATTCCCTGACTTTATGCCCTTCACCTGTCGCCAAGCATTGTATAGCTATTCCCTGACTTTATGCCTTCATCTGTCGCCGCATTGCATAGCTATTCCCTGACTTTATGCCCTTCACCTGTCCCAAGCATTGCATAGCTATTCCCTGACTTTATGCCCTTCACCTGTCGCCAAGCATTGCATAGCTATTCCCTGACTTTATGCCCTTCACCTGTCGCCAAGCATTGCATAGCTATTCCCTGACTTTATGCCCTTCACCTGTCGCCAAGCATTGCATAGCTATTCCCTGACTTTATGCCCTTCACCTGTCCCCAAGCATTGCATAGCTATTCCCTGACTTTATGCCCTTCACCTGTCCCCAAGCATATCTTCCATTAGTCTTTTAGTTTTTAATACAAGACTACCAAGTCTAATAGCTCTTGGAAGGGTGTAGGTGGATCTATCTATCTATCTATCTATCTATCTATCTATCTATCTATCTATCCTTTCTCTCCACATATAAATACACCATTAGTAAAACAGCAATCGGGATAAACACAAACTCCCATAATACAAAAAATGTGCATTAAAGGATTATAATAAGCTGTGTGAGGTTTTATGCACTATTATATTTCATCCCCACAAAGCCAGAAGGCGTTGCTTGTATTGTGGTAAATATAAGCCCTCCCCGCTGCTTATATGATACCAGGCTCATACACCACCACATTCCACCACACGCCGCCATATTCACACACTCTCTACCACATGCCACCACACTCACACACTCTACCATAATAATGGTTGCCCTTCGTGTAACGAGGATGCCCGGCCCTAGGGCTACCTAGGCGTAAATTTGTTTTAGGTGTAGAAGCTGTCGCCAACACAACAACCACACCTTAAGTTAACGAGCTGCATTACCCAGTGTCAAGGAATAGTCCGAGAAGACCGGACAACTCGCCAACTGCACTGGCTAACCATTACTCCGGAACACGATCCGCAAATCGATTAACATCCAGGTCCTCAATTACTGCTGGGTAGACAGAGGCAAATGGAGTAAAGAAACTTACCCATTGCTTCATCCTCCCCGGGGATCGAACCCGGGTCCGCTCGCTTGCGAGGCGAGCATGCTGACCATTACACCACAGGTCGCCAAACACTACCACATGCCACTACATTCACAACCATCTTATGCCCCACGCACACACACACACACACACACACACGCACGCAGACAGACACACACACACACCACACACACACACACACACACACACACACACACACACACACACACACACACACACACACACACACACACACACACACCACCACCACCACATTCACATTCCAACACTCATATTTCATACCGTATATATACATCCTCGTATATACCTCCAACGTCATAACTATTTGCATCAACTATGTAAACACGGAACATTGAATATCTCTATTTTTGGGGGTGAAGCGGTGGGAGGTGGGGGTGTGGGTGGGGGTGGGGGGATTAATGTTATGTAGGTGAGGAAGGTGGGGGATAGTAGGTAGGGGGAGGGAAGGGGAGTTAGAGAAGGGGTTTTGGAGGGAAGGGAGGGAAGCAGTATTGGGGAGGGGTTATTTTAGGTAGTGGGTGGGGGGGTAATAGGTGAAGGACGGAAGGGGTTTGGGGGCAGTGGGTGAGTGGGGGGTTGAGGAGGGTAGGTTTGGGGGTTAGTGGGTGGGGGAGGAAAGGGGATGGTGAGGGGAAGGAGAGGGGTAGGTCTAATCCTCAGCTCCACGTCAAAGGAACATGAAAATTGCGATTAATGATCAAATGAGCGAAGTCAAGACGGATTTGCTTTCCAATTTGGTAATTCTGACAAATTTAGGTTAGGTTAGGTTTAGGTTTAGGTTCAGGTACAGGTTGGTCTAGGCTTAGGTTCAAGTTCTGGTTTAGGTAAGGTTTAGGTACAGGTTTGGTCCAGGTTTAGGTTAGGTTAGGTTAGTTTAGGTTTATGTTCAGGTACAGGTATGGTCCAGGTTTAGGTTAAGTTCTGGTTTGTTTGGGTTTAGGTACAGGTATGGTCCAGGTTTAGGTTCAAGTTCTGGTTCAGGTAAGGTTTAGGTACAGGTTTGGCCCAGGTTTAGGTTCTGGTTTAGGTAAGGTTTAGGTTCAGGTAAGGTTCAGGTACAGGTTTGGCCCAGGTTTAGGTAAGGTTTAGGTTCAGGTAAGGTTCAGGTACAGGTTTAGGTTCTGGTTTAGGTTCAAGTCGTTTCCTCATAATAATATCATGGTGGTGTGGTCTTCCAAGTCCACATCTTTTTAGGTGAGTTAAGATGATTAGCCCAGCAGCTTATTTCACATGGTAATTAAACACCCGAACGCTAACCTAACAACTAACTTCACCTAGTCAAACTTAACCTAATCTAACCTAACCTAATTTAATCTAACCTAGCTTAACCTAATTAAATCTAATCTAACATAACGTAACGTATCTTAACCTAAGGTAACAAAACGTAACATAACCTACCCTGACTTAATGTAACCTAACCTACCTTAACCTAATCTAACCAAACATAACATAATCTAATCAAAATTAACTTGATATAACCTAACTTAACATAACACAACAAACCTAATCTAACCTAATTTCACATAACCTAAACTAACCTCCCACAACAAAACCTAACCTAACCTTACATAAACTAACCTAACCTTGCCTTTCCTAACCTAATTTACAACCTAACCTTACATAAACTAACCTAACCTTGCCTTTCCTAACCTAACTAACATAAACTAACCCTCCTTTCCTAACCTAACCTAACCTAACCCACAGGTATTGTCAAGGTGTTTAATCATCAGATAAAACAAGCTAGGGGGCTAATGTTCAGGTGATGTGGAAAATACATAGTTCTCACCCCCACAATCACTACCATTATTCTCACCCCCACAATCACCACATAGTTCTCACCCCCACAATCACCACATAATTCTCCCCCACAATCACCACATAATTCTCACCCCCCACACTCCACATAGTTCTCCACCCCACAATCACCTCACCAACACAGTCATTCACCCTCTCACAATATAACGTCTTAACAACGCCTCCAAGACGGCCGCTGGGGGTGATTCAGGATCGTCATAGGTATGTGAATATAATGTTTGTGTGTCAATAAATAAATCACTGGGGTGTATGTATGTTAATCATCCAGCTGCAGTCACCTGGAAAATTTTAATGAACACAACATGAATTCAGATGTCTGTATGTATGTATGTATGTATGTATGTATGTTTTTTTACAGATGTTTGCGTATGGAATAGTACACGAATTATATATTTTACACCTCGTACACACACACACACACACACACACATATACAGTGGTACCTCCATGGTGAGAAAGAGAAGAACAAAAATATTCTTACTGACGCCGCCGCTGTGGATTTCATCATGTAAACATTATTTTTGTGAGGGTAAACGACCATAGAGAGAAATAAAAGTCAGACTAGA